GGATCTCAATTTGGATGTCGTTTGACTATCGAACGGATTTCGCATATTGTGCGTTATCCGGGTTCGATAAGTTCTAACCGTTGGATCGTTTCCAAACTGAAGTATGTTGATCTAGGTACTCTTAGAAACCTATAGGAATTCGCGGATCGTGAATCGGAGCCCCGGATGTTCCGATTCAATAATTTGAAGTTCAGGGAAATCGCGATTACCGTGCGGTCGGGAAGCGATTCCCAAACCTGTAACCGGACATTAGGATATACCTTTGGACGTACACGCACCGGGAACTTGGGGATTTAAGTATTTCCTTTTGTGAATTTCTATTTTGGAAGTACGTTATATTAATCAAGGGTTCGTATCTCGAAATAGGTACTTCGGTTGACCATTCGCAGCAGGCAGGACCCTCTCAGGGCCGAGCAGCTTGGGATTATTTGTGAGTGGACTTTGTTTTAAGCATATGCATGGTTTTATTGATGAAAGATTTATGCATATATTTTAAATGGTGATTTTGATTTAATAATCATTTGGTTGATGGATTTGAATATTCTTATACATCTTGGCAATATATTTTGAGTATAGACATATATTTTGAGTATGATGAATATGTTGATATGAATTTTGGGATAACTATCTATATTGTCTATGTATAGAGTATGAGAGGTTGTTGTGGTGAGATTGTGGAAAGATGTGAGTTTGAGGGATGGTTGTGAGATGTATGAGTATGTTAGGTGAGTACCATTCCCTAGTTACTAGGCTTCCCACACACGTCATTGGCAGTGCCGGTGGGGTGGGAAGGCCATGAGATTGCGGGTCTCACACATGTCGTTGGCAGTGCCGGTGTGTGAGACACTTTCCATACGTGTCGTTGGCAGTGCCGGCGTATGGGAAGAGTATGTATATTGCTTAAGTATCATCACACACGTCGTTGGCAGTGCCGGTGGGGTGATGATACTGTCTGCGCGCGTAGGACTTGTTATGAGATTTGTGAGCTACACGTGTCGTTGGCAGTGCCGGCGTGTGAGCTATGGAGTTCCGTCCCCCGGTTGGACTACTCATCCCTGGACGCAGGTTAGTGTTCGGAAATCCTGCGTACCAGTTAACAATCCCCCGGTTGGATTGTTTCCCCGGTACATTAGTATGGATAGAAGTATCTATTATATTATAGTCCTAGTTATATATATATATATATATTTTTATATATGAGTATTTGCGGGTTGATGAGAGTTGCATGTCATTGGGAAATGAGTTGTGGATTTGAGATGTGGAGATGTATTGGACTTTGGAATATTGTGTTTTGAGTTCTGGTTTCTGGTTTGTGAAACTGCATGCTAGAGCATTATTTTTACATGGTGGGGTTATTATGTTGATTTAAAGTCCAAACTTTATTTTTGTCCACTCACATATTTCTGTTTTGCGCCCCCCAGGCAGTAGTTGCTTTTGGAAGCGTTCGAGCAGGTTGCGAGCTCCAAACTTTTCGTCAGTTGTTAGGGTCTGTGTAAATTCCTTCCACTCAACTGTTTGTTGTAAACAAATTCTGTAGACGCTCTGTTATCGCCCATGTTAGGTTGCTACTTGAGGCCAGAGGCCATTTTATGTTGGATTGTTGTATGTTAAAAGCATGCTGGCAGTTGGAATATATTTATTATGTAAATTATGTAGGTTAAATATTGTTGGGTTTGAGCATTTTACAGGGGAGACTCTGCCAAAATTTTGGTAGGATGTCTGGGATTCTTAGTAAGTGGGCCCGGCATCAGTGTGATGTCGGCACCAAGACGGGGTCCGCCCCGGTTTCAGGGGAAATTCTGGGGCGGGTCTTGTCAGCGCACGTCTCTCTTCGTCGATGCATGGTGTCACACTTGGAAGTGCATCACCAAAACAGAGTTTACTAGTGTGTGGAAATAAAGATGCCAAAAAGAAAAGAAGGAAATAGTGGGCAATGTTGAGGTGAAAGTTAGAACTGAATGAGTTTGCAAAGCTATACATTTTCATGCAAAATCTTCTTTGCTGTGGTGCGGATGGCAACTGAGCAGAAAGCTATACTTATAGGAGGTTATGAAAGTGTAAAATGAATATCTAAATCATTGGCATCCAGATTCCAAGTATTCAACCCATTTTACAAGTCGGCTAGATTGGCAAGTAGGCGTAAACAAAACTAACAAAACCATGTGAGGAAGATTCACCAAGGAAAAAAAGGGAGTTCAAGTTGGTCTCTTTCCTCTGCGTTTTCCTCTTTCGTGTTCCGATGTTGATTATTTTAACAAAATTGTTGACTATGTGCCCTTCGCGTGATCACCAAACACACTGCATTCTTCACATGTGACAAACTTGTGTTCTTGGTGGAAAATTTATGACAAGATTTAAAAGAGAGAAAAAAAGAAGGCGAAGTTGGCATCTTCAGTGATTTATTTAATAGCCTGCAAGTACATATTGCAAATTACATGATAGTGATAGAACAAATGTAGTGGAATCACCACAGACCAATGTAGCCATATTATTCAAACACTTAGATTCTCAGAAAGGTACAAATTTTCCACTTTGAGGACAAAAATAATGATATCAAATCAAAGGGTATTGACCCGGAAAGTAAATCAAGAGATAAGGGTTGAAGCACTAGTGGACCACAATGGGGGTCGGGAAACATTGGTCTCCACTGTCTCAGAGACTAATCTGTGGATGCATGATGGTTTTGACTTGGGGGTCATAGGGCACGGAAGGCATGCTTTAATACAGTATGGTACTGCAATTGTTCCAAAGTATGATGAAGCATTGTTTGATAGGAGATGAACAATTTAAATGTTTCATGTTGTTATTACATGTACTGATGTTTTTTTTTCCTAATTTCTTAGACTTCTTTTAAAATTGTTTTTATTTATTTATATATTTCAATTTTGGCTTTTGTTGGGACTTAGAAAATGGTTTATTTATATGCAATTGTATTTTTCTCAACATCCTAAATTAAATTGAAATGGGAAAATAAAATGTCTCATAATTAGACTGGAAAATACAAATGCTCAGGTTTAGGGGGATTGAATAATAAAAATGCTGAGGTTATCAACCCAAAAAAGGGAATTGATTTTCTCACTCCTCTTTTATCCACTTACACTTCCTTTGTTAGAAATTATATATTTTCACTCATCTTTTGTCCGTTTACACTCCATTTTTTGTTATAGTAAAAAGTATTTTAAAAAACAAAAGGCAGTGTAAGTGGATAAAAAAGGAGTGAGGAAATCATCACAAAAAAGAAGAAGCTAGTGTGTATATATATATATCCAACTATATACATGTGGAAAATGGTTAGTAAGATTAATACAACATTAATCATTTGTTTGGGTGCACAATTTAATTTTAAAATTCATAAGTCAAAGAAAGAATTTTTTGGTGTTCTTTTTTTGGTCGAATATTGTGGTGTTCTAACTGAAGGGGAAAAACATAGGGCTTGTCCAATATAGAGTCCTACAATTTCTATTTCCTAGACATATACCCATCATTCTATAAATCTATGTGTAAAACCCAATTTCAACCTTAAATGACCAGTAGGATATAAGAGGTCATAATATTCTTATGTTTTTACATCCTTGTCATCAGACTTCATATTTTATTTATAATTTATTCCAAGCATTTCATTAACTGCCATAGTTGTAATTAAAACTCCCTATTAATAGCATATCAATCACCTCATTTCTTTTGGTTGCCATTCCCTCTAACATATGGCCCCTTAAAATTACAAAAAAAAAAAATGTAAATTACATATCCAATAATGTACATATGAAAAATATAAATATAAATATATACGTATAAAAATATAGGTATATTATTTACCAAAA